ATCAGTTCATTCAAATGATACATTGATAAGACTTTTATTTATTATATTTTGACAAAATGCAATTTTTGTCAACATATAGTCAAAACACTATATTTGCCATTTTTTCTCCATACACCACTTTTGGACTATCCTCGTTTCGATGTGATGGGTCACATATTTTAGCAACATGTTCACGATTATGCACTACTAATTGTGCAATTAAATTAGTTTGGAACAAGTTGACAAAAGAGCTCACAAACTTCAGCTACTGCTAGCAGTGGTGTAAAGTAACAAAGTACTTTTTTACTTTGTATTTTATGTAAAAAATTACTTTTGATACTTAAGTACAGTAAATGTTTGATATTTAAAGACTTTTACTCATGCAATATTCTTAGAGACTAACTTTATCAAAGTAGTTTTATGGTAAGATGTACTTCATTTTTAGATACACAGGCTATAGGGTGTAAAACCATCAGCTTTATCAAAATGTGATATATCAATTTGTTTTAATGACAACGTGTTTCTTGATATCACTGTCATGATATAAATTCAGAAGTCTGATATGGATGGTTTTGTTTTGCCTTCATGTCATTGAATCAATCATTTAATTGCTGTATGGATGTGGATTAATTATTACGCCGCTTTCTTTTGAGGCAGATATGTTGGATTTATGAGAAACATCTGACTTTCCAGGTTATAATTTCAATTTCAAGCACATTCCAGATGCAGAAATTCAAACTTCAGAGCACAATGAAACCCAACATAGAGTAAAAACTGTAGATCATCCAGAAAAGGACATTTGTGCTTTAGTTTTAGGGCCGTTTCGTGTATATGGCCCACCTAAAGGGAACCTATGAAGTTTGCAAACTTAATCTAAACATGTATGCTTTATAAAAAGGTATTTGCAATAAAATAAAAAACATAAACAATGTTTAGTTGTGATGTGTGTGGAGTACCGAAACTGCCATAATCAGAAATAAAAGCAGAAGTATATAAATGGATCAACAAATAAATAAATAYTCTTAAAATGCACCAATTCAATTAAAAAAGGAGAACTTTAACTCATGTTTTATTGTTTAATTGACTTTCATATTTATTTTTCCATCTTAGTTC